TAGTCAAGATATAGAAGCAATGCAAGTGCCGAACAGTAGACGAATGGATAAAGAAGAAGTGGTACATATATACAATGGAATATTACTCTGCCATAAAACATGAAATCTTACTGTTTGCAACAACAGGGATGGACCTAGAGGATATTATGCTAAGTGAAATAAGTCAGATAAAGACAACATATGATTTCACTTACATGTGTAATCTAAAAAACAAAATAAGTGAACAAACAGAACAGAAACAGACTCATAGATACAGAGAACAAGCTGATGGTTGACAGACTGGAGGGGGTTTGGGGGCAGGGTGAAAAAGTTGAAGGGATTAATAAGTGCAAATTGGTAGTTACAAAATAGTTACAGGGATGCAAAGTACAATATGGGGAACAGAGTCAATAATATTGTACTAACTATGTATAGTGCCAGGTGGGTACTAGACTCGTCAGGGGGATCACTTCATAAATTATATAAATGTCTAACCACTATGCTATACACCTGAAACTAATACAAAATAATATTGAATGTCAACTGTAATAGAAAAAAAAAAGACATCAGCAAACACGTATCATATTGTGTATTCTATTAACTGATTTTTGGTTGAGATAAATTATCTTCACAACATATATGTGAACTTTAAGTACAAAAGTTTGTGAAAATATTTATGTTGTAAAATAAATGTGAACAAAATAAAAAACTATATAACTGTGTACTAACTGTACAAATGAAACAGTGTTTATTTACACAGCAAAGTAGCCTGAAGGGCTTGCTCTATTAGCTTTCATAATAAAATACTTTGTTCACAAAAAAGATGAGCAAAAGATCTCAAACACTGCTTTTGTATCTAGAGTTTCAATTAACTTAGACATGAATTTCATGTAATTATTTTTTGTCTCAATCATATTGCCTGAGGAATGTTTTTAAAAATCATTTTGTATTACTTTAACCAATTAATTCACTCTTCTGTAATTTATTAAAATCCAAAATAACCGTTATCAAAATATAATAAGAGGACAGGTAATAAGTACAAAAGGAAATTACTTCTTGCTTGAAATAATATTTTAGCCTAAGTGCTAATTTGGGAGTGTCCCTTACAGAAGGGTAACCCAGGATATTTTTCTGGTGTTAGCTTCATCTCACCAAAGGCAGCAACCAGGTACCAGTCAGAATTTATGTTGCCTGGCTAAGAGAAAAATAGTTAGGTGATGAATAATAAGTGGGAAATGTTGATGTCAAAAGATAAAGTCAACTGACCTCGACCCAGGATGAGGATAACCAGAAGATTTACTGACTCACTGCCTGATTTATCCCCCAAATTACCAGCCAGGAACAATAATAAAAAAATAGTTGGGTACATACCACAATTGTCTCTAAATTACTGAGAGCCATTCATTCTGACCCAGTAATGGGTATTTGTCTCAGCTTGCACATACCTCTTAAAATAAATGTTCTAATTTTAACCAGATAGAATCTCCAAAGAGACGTCCAGATCACAAGACATAGTTTGAACCCAAGCCAGCAATAATACTGCTTATGTTAGCCGTTAAAATAATCCCTGTGACCTGATGTTACCAAAAGATCAGATAGAATTTTCATGACTAGTTTAGCAGTTGAGAAATGTAGCCGGTAACATGTGGATGAGACAACAGAACTGTTTAGAACAGGAAAGGAATCCATAGCTGCACACAGGAACTATTTTTTTTTTTAAAGATTTTTTTTATTGGGGAATTGGGGGCAGGGAACAGCGTTGGGAATTGGGGAAGGGGGACAGACAAGTTGCTGTCCTTTTTGTTCTTCTGTCTAGTTGTGGAGGATGTCACTTCACTGGCCCATGTTGGTATTATCATTGCACTCTTCCCAGGTGAGGCACTCTGTCACCAGCAGTTGGACAGCCACTCACAGCCGCCCTTGCTGGCTGCTGGCCGCTCACGCTGGCTGCCAGCCACTCACGGTAGGTCACGGCAGTCCACTGCAGCCCCACTTCAGTCTACACTGTCGCCAGTGACTCTCGGCAGCCCAGCTCCAGGTNAAAAAAAAACCTGAAGGGAGAATGTACTGGAAATCTTAAGAGAAAAAGGAAGGTGAATGAATACATATAGGCATTGCTTTTGACAAAGAAAATGGTAGAACAAAAGTTTCAATTATCTGATGTTGCTACTACATATGTGTAAATGTTGGTGTGTATGCCTGCATTTACATATACTGGAACTCCAGGTATTAGGGAGGGTTCCACGGGACTGTATTACAGCTGAGGCAGCAGAAGTCCTGCCCCTGGGTTAGGCTGGCTGCTGCCTTCCATGTGCAACAGGAAAGATACAGGAGGCTCTTCAGAGTCCTCTGCTCACAGCGTTTTTCATAACAGTCTCTCAGACCTGGATTGGAATCCCAGTTCTGCTACTAAGTTGTGTAACTTCCTTAAGCCTCAGTTAATTCTCATATATAAAAAGGGACTATGAACAATAATAATACTTGATAAAATAGTTGTAAGTGTTAAATAAAAAATAGCTAAATTTTCTTAAGCACTTACTATGTGCCAGGCAATGTTCCAGGTACTATTTACAAGTACAAGTGTTATCTTATGATCCATATAACGTAATTAGAGTAAGAATGTAAGTGTGAATTATTTTTCCCTTTATATTCTGTTAAAAGCACTAATAAATGAAATGGCTAAAATTTATACCATAACAAAGAGATGGATCTTTCATAACCTTAGTCTCTTATAATCATAGCAAGGTAATTAACTAATCAGTTAGACTTGATTATAATTCATCCATTCAGTTCTATTCTTTATATTTTAATATGTATCATAAAAGTTTAATTTCTTTTCCAATTCTTAAAAAAGAACAAACCTCAGAGGAAGACCTTTAAAGTCAGAAAAGATGATAAGCAGTTTGTTATTGTAAATGTTAATGTGTCATCTTTGTTTTACAAGATTTCTTTTTTAAGATACTATGTAAACATATAGGAGTTCAAACAGTAAATCAAAATAATCCTAGGAAAGTATTTGTATGTACATGCTATTGTAATTTTCACTGAACATACCGTATTTCCCCATGTATAAGGCACACTTTTTTAAAAAAAAATTTGGGGTCTAAAAACTGGGTGAGTCTTATAAAGTGGTTGTAGATTTCAAATGTCATAGATGGAACTGAGGATGAGGCAATATATGAAGACAGTGATTTGTCATCAGACACAGATGAGGACAAGNCCACTATAAAGTATTGCCCCAAAATACGCCTCAGCAGAATACAGGAAAACATTTTGAATTGCAATCAGCAAAAACAAAAATGTGGGAGACTACAGGACCAATGATCTGGTTTCTTCAACATAAATTGCAAGGAAACAATGAACAAAAAGGGAGGGTAAGGAAACAAGATTCTTCCAGAGACGTATCAACCAACTGCACTTACAGACCTTACTTTGATCCTGGTAAGAAGAAAGTGGAAATGAAACACAAAATAATGGAGGACATTTGGAATTAATCAATTTTTGGTGTGATAATTTTCTGAAATCCTTATGTTTTAAAGATATCGCCATATAAAAATATGGAGCTATTTCACATGAAAATTTTTATATGGGATTTGCTTCCAAATAGTCTGGTGAGGGGAGTTGGTGGGGTTATGGATGAAACACAATTGTTGAAGCTGAGTGATGGGGGTTCTTGATCACATTCTGCTTGCTTTTGTGCATCTATAAGTTCCCATTAATAAAGTTAGATAGAAATTACATGACTGAAACCTCAGCCGCTGCTGGTTTAGAATCCGAGCCCGTGCCTGGGCCTGTGGAGCCACTGCCTGCCTCTCCATCTGCGTGGGGGTCCTTGCCTTCCAGCAAGTTCTTGCTGCCCTGGGCCTCTGTGCGCACAGCTCCCTCTGAAGGGAAGTTCTTCCTTCCCCTCTGGCTGCCTCCGAGCCTGTCTTTCTGGCTCAGCCAGCATCTTGTAGTAGGTCTTTCCTGACCACCCTGAGCTTGGATATTGGCTGGTAATGATGTAATTATATGTTTCTTTTTGTGATCTGTGTTTCCTACTAGAATATAAGGAGCTATGTCTATCTTACAGCCCTGTATTTCTAATGCCTGTTGCATGTGTGATATGGTAGGTACTTAATAAGTGCTTGCTGAATGAACTGTGTTGTCTGTCTTAAATGTGATTGTCAGCTCAAATTGTGTTTGATGTGAAACTAAGGTGACTGAATACTTGGGTAGATGTTATTTCAGGAATAAGGTCAAGTAGTTCCTTGAAACCAGACATCTATCTTTATGACCACTGGGATTGTGAAAGCAACATAGGGCTGAAATGAACTTTGAAATTAGAAACAGTACGTAGATTGTCCATTTGTATGACTTGTAAATTTTACTGCAATGAAATTAATTTCTGTTTAGCCATATGTCTCTATGCCTTGAATTCTCACTGGAAGAGTCTGGCTCATATACTCAATGTTGAGATCCCTGGACTAGGAGTGTCTATCTGAAAAGGTCTTTGTACCACAACCCCTGAAACACGGAGGCACTTAAGTCTTTGTTTGGTATTGCTTCATGCACTTGAAGATCACAGCAACTCATTCTCCCCTAATTCACATAATTGTAGCTCATTTTATCTTCAGAAGCCATTTAGCATTTAATATTTTACAATTTTAGGTAAGCCTCAGATTCTTCTTGAGCTCTTGTGTTAGCCAGCCTCCAAGGTGGGCCCCAGGATTCCATACCCCTGTGTACTCATTCACACCCACATTGAATAGGGCTGACCTATAGGATGTTGTGGGAATAAAAGAAGGTGACCTTGAAGTTAGATCACGGAAGCCATTGCAGCTTCTGCCCAATTNTTAGAACATTGTATCTGGCTGAAGTTCAGTATGTACAGATTTGTCTCAAATGGATGAGTCTAATTTTTAAAGGTTTAATAAATTGCTAGCTATTAGAGAATTTACGTTGCTTTTTAAAAATTTTAGGCAAATTTATATTTCTAGTCCTCTGATAATGTCAGTCATATTTTGTTCTTTTTTATATAGCCACATGCTAAATGCCCTTTATGCAGAAATGATATACATGGAGATAATTTATTAGAATGTCCTCCAGAAGACTTGGCATGTGACACTGAGAAAAAGTCTAACACAGAATGGACATCCAGTTCAAAGGTAAACACAGATGCACAAATATTTGAGTATTTGTTTTACGTTTATATAAAGAAATATCATGTGTAAAAATAATTATGCTTTTAATTCTGTCATTTGAATATTATACTCTGTCGGTAGTTATTGGCTTTTTGTTCATATCTAGTGAATTTCAGAGGAAAGAGAAAGGTTTCAGATGATGATAGTATTCTTTCAGTATTAATTTAAAAACATTAGTTGTCTTTCCCATTTTAGGGAAATAACAAGGTGGCAGCACCTTTGTCTTCATACTAAAAAAAAAAAAAACAAAAAAATGGATGTTTTTTCCAAATTCAAAATGGCATCTAATGGCTGTCCTATTTTTTTTTTCAGATTAACGCCTTAATGCATGCATTAATTGACTTAAGAAAGAAGAACCCCAACATAAAAAGTTTAGTTGTTTCTCAGTTTACAACGTTTCTGTCTTTAATAGAAACACCACTCAGGTATGTTCAACAGTGTTTCTCACTTTGAGTAAAAGGAATTTTATATAAGTGTTTTGATTTGGATAGCAAGAAGTATTTATGTTTACCAGTTTTATTCATTTCACTATCTAAAATAACAGTCACAATAAAGAATATTTTTTGGGAGTATGGGATTTTAGAGATCAAGTTATGAAAATATCTGGAAAGAATTGACTGTAGGGTCTGACGTAATAGTAGACAGTTTGTAAATATTTGTGAAAATAAATGAGTGAAAGAATTGGTAAAGGAAGCCGCTGTAATTACTTAACATGTTTTTATAGCATAGGAAGTGTTACTTGTCTCTTTTGTCTCCTCCATTAGAGCTTCCGGATTTGTGTTTACTCGTTTGGATGGTTCAATGGCCCAAAAGAAAAGAGTTGAATCGATTCAATGTTTTCAAAACACTGAAGCAGGATCTCCAACTATAATGCTTCTATCCTTAAAAGCAGGTGGCGTTGGTTTGAATCTTTCTGCAGCTTCTCGAGTGTTTTTAATGGATCCAGTAAGTTGTTTTATAGACTTTGTGGTATGTTATTACTTCTTTAAAAAAAAAAAAAGAAAAAAGAAAAAAAGAACAAAAAGTACTCGGTAAGTACCTTCATAGCTATAATTTTGTGGAAATTCCTCAGGCAGACTTTAGAAATAGATAACTTATTAAACGTGTATCAAGGGCTTTCTCTTAAGTGCTTTCCATATATCAAATGAAATTCTCACAACTTCTCTATGAGGTGGATCTTATCCTTATTTGCAGGTGAGGAAACCGAAGCATAGAGAAGTAAAATAACTTGCCCAACATCACACAGCTAGTATTTTGCAAACCAGGGTCAGAGTTCACGTCCTTAAGTCCTGCTTTTCTACTTCTCTTCTAAATACAGAATACCTTTCTGTTAACTTCAGTGCTTTAAGGGTATTCATTCGTCCAACATACGTACAATAAGATCTGCTTTGTGTCAGGGACTCTTACAGGTACTGGGAATCTGGCGTAAACACGATAGACAAAGTAGCTACCCTCATGGTGCTAATGGTCTCAAGCTTTAATGTGCAAAAGAATTACGTAAATGTAATTTCTGACCTCTTTCCCCAGAGATTTAGAAGTATTGGATGAAACGCAGGAGGCTGCATTTTTATACAGACTATAGGTGACTCAGTTACAAGTGGTCAGCATCACAGTTTTAGAAACAAGACCATTAATGGAATGTTTGGAGTGAATTTTCGTGGCTGCGTAATATGGGCCTAAAGGTAGAGGTGGGAGCTAAACTTCACTCTCACTGTGCTCACCAAAGTGTATGACCTGGAGCTGCACCCACATAGGAGCTCTTTTCGTGATTGCACAAAGGAGCTGGTTTGGGCAGGAGGCACTCTGGACTACCTCAATCTCCAATTTGCATTGGGTACTGCTTGGCTAGAGGCAACCTTGAGCTGTTCCTGTGCATTCACAGGTTTAAGATTTGTTGTTTTAGCTTGTCTAAAACTCAGAAAATTCATAACAAAAGACATTTTATTGAGACACAAATTTGAGTTATTCCAGTTAGGCTATCCTGGATGTATGTTCCTGTTCCATGTCTTTTTTTCCTCCCTTGAGAATAACTTTCCGAGTAAGATTACAACCAGAGCCATACATAGGCATTAATGTCATGGATGACAGTGGTCTGTTGTATTTCCTTGCTTTAGTTCTGTGGATGTAGTTTTAAATCTTTGCTAGAGTTTTACTGTTTTATGGTTATTATAAAAAATATTCATTTTAACTACAGATAGTTACATACTAATTAACCCAATGAAAATCCTAGAAGCTGATTTTTGGAACTGATTCCCAAATTATTTTCTTCGGTTATAATCTTAGTACTTGAGAACGAGTCTGTTAATACCAAACATAGTAATTTAATTAGTATTACAAAGTTGATCAGAAACTAAAACTCTTTAGCAGTTATAGTTTAAAAAAACGTATAGAATGTTTTAGCAGTTTTGTAGTAAGTTGTTTGAATATTTCAAGCTTTCACATATTGTTTCTAACTTTAAAACAAAAGCCAAGTCCCAAAAGAAGATTCAGTAAGAAAAATTTGCNAAAGAAGAATTAACACCTATCCTTCTCAAACTATTCCAAAAAAATAAAGAGGAAGAAAGTCTCTGAAGCCTGCATCCCAGTAATAAATCCCACTTGATCGTGGTGTATCTCTTTAATGTATTGTTGAATTCAATTTGCTAATATTTTGTTGAGGATTTTTGCATCTATGTTCATCTGGGGTATCAGCCTATAACTCTTTTTTGTAGTGTCTTTGTATGGTTTTGAGTCAATATTTGCAAATCAATTAACGTTATATACCATATAAACAAAATGAAATACAAAAATCCTATGATCATATCCATAGATACAGAAAAAGCATTTGACAAAATCCAGCATCCATTTATGATAAAAACTCTCAGTAAAGTGGGGATAGAGAAAACATGCTTCAACATTAAAAAAAGGACAAAAATGAAAAACCCACAGGGGAAAAGCTAAAAGCATTTTCCTTAAGATCAGAAACAAGACAAGGATGTCCACTTTCACCACTGTTCTTCAACATAGCATTGGAAGTTCTAACCACAACAATCAGACAAAAAAAGAAATAAAAGGTATCCAAACTGGAAAGGAGGATGTCAAACTGTCATTATTTGCAGAAGACATGATACTACATACAGAGAACGCTAAAGATTCCACCAACAAACTATTAGAACTGATAAATGAATTCAATAAAGTAGCAGGATACAAAATTAATATTTAGAAATTGGTTGTATTTTTATACACCAATAACAAGCTATCAGAAAGAGAAATTAAGAAAACAATCCCATTTACAATTGCATCAAAAAATATAAAAACTTAGGAATAAATTTGAGGTAAAAGACCTGTACTCAGAAAATTATAAGATACTGAAGAAACTAAAGAA